CAATGGCTGATCAACAGTTGCCACTGATGTTGCAGATCAGACCCTGCCTCTCTCTCTGCAGGCCTCTCTCCGGACCTAATCCACAGCCCCCTTGGCAGTCAGTGCTGGGTCACTGTGCTGGCACCAGCTGCAGTCAGTGCTGGGTCGCCACGGCAACCCAGCACTGACTTCCAGTGTTAGGTCAAGCCTTTGGTTGTTATGGACCCTGGCTCTTTATATATATATATAAGTTGGACCCTTGTTTGACCATGGGTAGTCCATCTCAAGCAGATAAATTCCTACTTGAGGTTCACATTAAATGAATCTTTTTTTCTTGGGATTCATACTCTCACCCTGGATCAGAGTACCTTAATTTTCAGTTATTGTTTGGTAAGAGGTTCTCCTGAAGCCATTTGAGCCATTCAGCCTCACAGGCACTTCGCTGATGGATCAGTATGCATAACCTTCTGTATCCTCAGGGATGAATGTGAACCCAGGATTGTTCTTGTCTATCTCTTTCCCTTGTGTTAAACTTCTGCTGTTTTTTTCCCCACTTGTTGCTACTATTATCATGTAGCTACCAGTCCCCTCTTAATTGCTCACTGGCAAGATCTCCATTGATTTTGACAATGCCCCTTAGGCAGGAACAACTCCTGCTCTGTTCTAAATAAAGTCAGTCCCTTCAGGCAGGGATGCTGAGATCTTCCACTTTATTGCCTGCTTCTTCCCCTGGGCAGAACCTCTGTGCCACTCTACTAGAGTTAGTGGCAGGAGCTTGGCATGCTTCTCCTGGAGTGACACCCCTGCTCTATGAGTGGATGCTGAGGAGATGGTTGTCCCTGATCTTATTGGCATGCCCTCCCGGCATGGAAGCTCTGTCCAATGAGCCAGCCTGGGTGAAGGAAACTAGGGGCCTAATATTCTTAATCTGTTGCACCTGGCATAGAGCTCTTACTCTGAGTGAGAACTGGGTGGGGAAAGGAAGACCCAGCTCTTTCATTGTACCTGTCCCGAATAGCACTTCCACAGCACAGGCCTGGGGAAGATAAGAGAGGCTGGTAGCCTTCCCTTCCCTAGGTGAAACCATAGCCTAGGAGTCTAGGAGCTGGAGTAAGAGGGAATTCCCACTTTCTTGACAGCATTCATCTGGAGTAGCTTCTATAAGATGGAGCTCTTGTGGATAGCAGCAGGTGTGGATAGGAGATAAGAGCTCAAATGTTACAAAATATCACTATTCTGAAATTTAGCTGTTGTGTTTTAAATAAATATTTTTCCATTTGTTATAGACCCTTAGGGCAATTTCCAGAGACTTTAAGTGGTCATTTATTTTAACGATTTTAACAGGAAAATGGTTGTTTCATTGGGGGAAAGGATCCAAGAACTCCTTATACCACCATTACAGAAGTTCCATCCTCAACTGGTAACTTAAAAAACTGAATGTAGCCCTAACCGGTTTGGCTCAGTGGATAGAGTGTCGGCCTGTGGACTCAAGGGTCCCAGGTTCGATTCCGGTCCATGTACCTCGGTTGCGGGCACATCCCCAGTGGGGAGTATACAGGAGGCAGCTGATCGGTGTTTCTCTCTCATTGATGTTTCTAATTCTCTATCCCTCTCCCTTCCTCTCTGTAAAAAATCAATAAAATATATTTTAAAAAAAACCACAACTGAATGTAGAAGGTTTAATGTACCAAAGGAGACTTACAGTGACTAGGCCAGCATTATTTTTTTTAATTAAATATTGTTCAGCCGAAACCGGTTTAGCTCAGTGGATAGAGCGTCGGCCTGCGGACTGAAAGGTCCCAGGTTCGATTCCGGTCAAGGGCATGTACCTTGGTTGCGGGCACATCCCCAGTAGGGGGTGTGCAGGAGGCGGCTGATCGATGTTTCTAACTCTCTATCCCTCTCCCTTCCTCTCTGTAAAAAATCAATAAAATATATTTTTTAAGGGGGGGGAAGGACACATATGTAATACTGTTTGTAATACTTATTATAATATTTTTTTAAAAAGAATAAAAAAAATAAAAAATAAATAAATCTTTATTGTTCAGATTATTACATTGGTTCCTCTTTTTTCCCACCATAACTCTCCTCCACTCAGGTCCCACCCCACTCTCCGCCCTCACTCTCCACCCACTGTCCTCATCCATAGGTGCACGATTATTGTCCAATCTCTTCCCCCACCCCCCACACCTCTTTCCCCCCCAGGAATAGTCAGTCCATTCCCTTTCTATGTCCCTGATTCTATTACAATCACGAGTTCATACTGTTCATCAGATTATTTATTCACTTGATTCTCAGATTCACTTGTTGATAGATGCATGTTTGTTGTTCATAATTTGTATCTTTACCTTTTTCTTCTTCTTCCTCTTCTTAAAGGATACCTTTCAGCATTTCATATAATACTGGTTTGGTGGTGATGAACTCCTTTAGCTTTTTCTTATCTGTGAAGCTCTTTATCTGACCTTCAATTCTGAATGATAGCTTTGCTGGATAAAGTAGTCTTGGTTGTAGGTTCTTGGTATTCATCACTTTGAATATTTCTTGCCACTCCCTTCTGGTCTGCAACGTTTCTGTTGAGAAATCAGCTGACAGTCGTGTGGGTACTCCCTTGTAGGTAACTGATTTTCTTTCTCTTGCTGCTTTTAGGATACTCTCTTTGTCTTTTGCTCTTGGCATTTTCATTATGATGTGTCTTGGTGTGGTCCTCTTTGGATTCCTTTTGTTTGGGGTTCTCTGTGCTTCCTGGACTTGTAAGTCTATTTCTTTCATCAGATAAGGGAAGTTTTCTGTCATAATTTCTTCAAATAGGTTTTCAATATCTTGCTCTCTCTCTTCTTCTGGCACCCCTATAATTCGGATGTTGGTACGCTTGAAGCTGTCCCAGAGGCTCCTTACACTATCTTCATATTTTTGGATTCTTTTTTCATTTTGCTTTTCTGGTTGGGTGTTTTTTGCTTCTTCGTATTTCATATCTTTGACTTGATTCTTGCGATCCTCTGATCTGCTGTTGGGAGTCTGTATAATATTCTTTATTTCAGTCAGTGTATGCTCAATTTCTAGTTGGTTCTTTATCACAATATCGAGGGTCTCACTAGATTTCTTGAAGATCTCACTACATTTATCGGCGGTCTCACCAGTCTTTTCGAGGGCCTTACTAAATTTATCGGTGGCTTCTAGACAGTTCTTTAAAGACCTTAAAAGTGTGGTTTTGAACTCTATATCCAGCAGTTTGCTTTCCTCCATTTCTGTCATTTGTGTCCTGTTTCTTTGTCTCGGCATTTTTTATGCTTCGCTGTGTCGATAGAGTGCCTTTCTGTGCTAAGTGTCCCAATTACCTGAGGTAGACACTCTTGGTGCACCCCCTTGTGGGCTTTGTGCACAGTCTTGTTGTAATTAAGCCTTGATTGTTGTATTTATCACTGGGAGGAATTGACCTCCAGTCCAATTGGCTGTGATGAGCAGCTTTGTCTGCAGTGGGAGAACTTCTGAGCTGGAGACACCCCTCTGGAGCAAGACTTGCTTCAATGGGGCTTTGGTGCTCTCTGAGTCTGCCCCCTGAGTGTGTCCTTTATGGTTCCACGGAACTGCAAACTGGATGGTCCCACTCTGACCTCTGGGCTTCCTGCCTCCTGGATCTCTAGGGAGGTGCTAATCTAGCCTTTGCCTGAGGCTATCCAGCAAAAGCCTCCCTGCAGGGCTTGGGCGGGGCAGATCCCACGGTATCAACAGGGCGGGGCTAGCAGTTATGGCTTCTCTCAGTCTTGCCCTCAGAGGCTCTGCTTCTCAGTGTCCCGGTAATCGCTGCAAGCCCCTCGGAGAGAAAGCTGCCCTCGGGTTCTGACCGATGCCAGACAGTCCCGCTTCTCCCGTATGAGTCTGGGTCCCTAGAGACTCGCCCGGAACTGGAGCTCAGAGCCTGAGACTCCCTCCCGATTGAAAACGACAACTGCGCCCTCAGCCGCCAGCCCTCTCCGCATGCACTCCGCACCTTAGTATTTTACTTCTGCACTGCGCCTCCTCTGAGTCTCGGTATGCTTTTCTCTTTCCTTCTAGTTGTAGAATTTCCACTCAGCCAGCCTTCCTGTGGTTCTGGATGATGTCCTTTCTGTCTTTTAGTTGTATTTTTGAAGTGGTTGTTCGAGGCAGCAAACTCCGGTGTTTACCTATGCCGCCATCTTGGTTCTCTCTAGGCTAGCATTATTGTATCCTTGTTAGCAAGCTGAAAACTCAGTTTGGTAGTTCTGGGTCTTTTTAGAGTTTTAAAAAAGGAATATTTCAAAGTAACGTCTTTAGTTTAATTCATTTCACCAAAATTTTATTGACATCCTCCCTTGGAATACCATTTTTATGGCGAATGATCTTTGTTTTGCTTTTTAAGTTTAGGTTTTGAAATCCTGAGGCTCATACTAATATATTATTTGTGGTTATCAGAATGTCCCATAGATAATGTGGTTTGGTAATTAAAGCAGAAAATGGAAAATCAAATTTCTCTTCTCCCCAACCCCTCACTCATTTTTAATGCCAATGCAGGAAATATTAGACATCAATTAACTGCTAAAGGTTCTTTCAGCTACAAAATGGAATAGTGCTTCACAAGGGTGTTGTGAAGCTTAATAAATATTGCTAAGCATTTGTCTCTGTGAAAATCCTGTATTTGTTTTATTTTAAAAATACATTTATATTTCGTAGACTTTAAAATGTGCCATTAAGTAAAAGCTAGTATATACATGTACGCTATTTTAATGTAGTATATTTATAAGTATATTCAAATAGAAAAGAGCCAGAATATAATTATAGTGTTGATTTATTTGATATATACTCTGAGAAAATTGTGGCTTTTTGTAGTTAGAAAGTAATGCTTATACAATTGATTTTCATGTACTGGTTGTCTAATAACCTGTTGTAGAGCAAAATAAATAAGTTGGAATAAAGTATAATTATACCATGTCTTCTTAGTAATATGTAATCTTGAAAATGTAATCTAAAATGAATATGTATTTTTTTTCTTTTTTAATGATTAGCCAAAGCTTTGATATTGGGAAGATGGATAAGAATTCTGTTGAGCCAGAAATGCTGGTAAGGATCATGTTAAATATTGCAAAAGTAGGTAGAAGAAATACAGTTTATGTTATTGTTATCCTATCTAATAAAGACGTACTATGCAAATTGACCATCACTCCAATAGACAAGATAGCCGCCCCCATGTGGTCAAAGATGGCCGGCAGGGGAGGGCAGTTGTGGGCGATCAGGCCAGCAGGGGAGGGCAGTTGGGAGAACCAGGCCTGAAAGGGAGGGCAGTTGGGGGCAATCAGGCCTGCAGGGAAGGGTAGTTAGGGGGGACCAAGGCGTGCAGGGGAGGGCAGTTGGGGGGGACCAGTCGTGCAGGGGAGGGCAGTTGGGGGGGGATCAGCTCTGCAGGGGAAGCAAGTTGGGGGTGACCAGGCCAACAAGGCAGGGCAGTTGGTGGGGACCAGGCCAATAGCGTAGGGCAGTTGGGGGGACCAGGCCTGCAGGGGAGGGCAATTGGGGGGGACCAAGCCTGCAGGGGAGAGCAATTAGGAGTGACCAGCCTGCAGGGGAGGGAAGTTGGGTGTGATCAGGCCTGCAGGGGAGGGCAGTTGGGAGGGCCAGGCCAGCAGAGGAGGGCAGTTGTGGGCGATCAGGCCTGCAGGGGAAGGCATTTTGGAGGGACCAGGCCATCAGAGGAGGGCAGTTGTGGGCAATCAGGCCTGCAGGGGAGGGCAGGTGGGGGTGACCAGGCCAGCAGAGGAGGGTAGTTAGGGGCAATCGGGCCGGCAGCAGAGCAGTTAGGCGTAGATCAGGCTGGCAGGGGAGTGGTTAGGGGGTGATCAGGCTGGCAGGCAGAAGCGGTTAGGGGCAATCAGGCAGGCAGGCAGGCGAGCAGTTGGGAGCCAGCAGTCCTGGATTTTGAGAGGGATGTCCCAGATTAGAGAGGGTGCAGGCTGGGCTGAGGGATACACACCTCCCCGTGCACAAATTTTGTGCACTGGGCCTGTAGTAAAATTATAATAGTCTATCCCCCCATTTGTGAATAGGTTATCTATTGGGCACATCATTTAATATGTCAGTGCATTAGTTTCTGTAAAATTGATATATTAATACCTGTAGGGTAGATTCTTGCACCCATGATTTAATATGTATAAAGTGCTTAAACAATGTTTGGCTATATAAGTTTTAGCTTTGATTATTGCATGTTAAAAAATTCTAGGTTTTAAAAAAACTCTAGGTTTTCCCCTACCAACCCAGATAGAACATGCTGGTATGGAAGTTAATTTTAATATTTAGTCAAGCAAAATGTTACATGTAAGCAAATCTGATATAAAACGAATTTAATAATTGCTATAGCAAAATGGAATTTATTCAATTTTTTTTATTTCAGAGAGGTAGGGAGAGGGAGAGATTTAAAACATCAATGATGAGAAAGAATCGTTGATCTGCTGCCTCCTGCACACCCCACAATGGGGATAGAGCCCACAATCTGGGAATGTGCCCTGACTGGGAATTGAACCGTGACCTCCTGGTTCATAGGTCGATCCTCAACTACTGAGCCATGCTGGCTAGGAAAAATGGAATTTTTTGAATATTCATTTCGGCTTCTCACCACTTTAGTATATCAATCAAAATGTAACTGAATACCTATATATATGGCAATGTGATAGATGTGGAATAAAAGAGAAATATAAGCCCTAGCTGGTTTGGCTCACTGTATAGAGCGTCGGCCTGGGGACTGAGGGGTCCCAGGTTCGATTCCAGTCAAGGGCATGTACCTTGGTTGCAGGCTCATCCCCAGTAAGGGGTGTGCAGGAGGCAGCTGGTCGATGCTTCTCTCTCATCGATGTTTCTAACTCTCTATCCCGCTCCCTTCCTCTCTGTAAAAAATCAATAAATATATTTTAAAAAAAGAGAAATATAAAACATGGCCTCTATCCTTAAGTTTATGTTTAAAGTATAAAATTAATACAAGTGATTACAATGGAGTATTATTCAACTTTGAAAAGGAGGGAAATTCTGATTCATGCTACAACATAGATTAATCTTGAGGACATTATGCTAACTGAAATGAGCTATTTCACAAAAAGACAAATACTGTATTATTCTACTTAGATAAAGTAATTTGAATAGTCAAATTCATAGAGATAGAAAGTGGAATGATGTCTACAGGGGTTTGAAGGGAGGGGAGCTATTGTTTAATAGGTACAGAGCTTCAATTTTGCATGGTTAAAAGAGTTCTGGACGTGTATAGTGGTGATGGTTGCACAACAATGTGAATGTACTTAATACTGTAACCGGACAAACAATGGGTCTGTGCTGCCTGTAACTACTTGAGCCAATTAAACAGAGATATGGTTGAATCATATATGAGCGTTTATTCCAATACTGCCAGCAGTATGGGAGAGCAGCAGGTCATCCACAAAAATCTGCTCTGCACACTATGATAAGCCAGCTGCTTATATTGGGTTAAAAGGACAAAGATTACATGGGGTAATAGCCAAAGTGTATGTCAAATGGGCAGTTAATAGGTAAGCAGAAGGCTGGGGATCTTCAAAGGGCTAGTGATATGCAAGGGCTGGGGTCTTCAAAGGGCTAGTGATATGCAAGGGCTGGGGTTTTCAAAGGGCTGGCATTTCTGGTTTCTGCAACAAAGTTGTTAATCTTTCCATGATAATAGGCAGCTCCAAATGGGAAGGGTGGGCTGCATTTCCAGGTCAGCTCCCAAGTCCTGTGTGTATAACTGCCAGCCAGGTTAGAATGTGCCTTCTTTAATCAGAATAAAACAATCACAGTTAACAGAGAATGATTAATATTTCTTACAATTCTAGCTGGTTCCCCAAATTTTATTTCTGCCCCTATCAATACTTCTGAAACATACACTTAAAAATGGTTAACAAGGTCAATTTTAGTTATGTGTATTTTATCACAATTAAAAATAATAAAAAATATATTGTGATAATATGACAGAATGGGTATTATTATACAGCAATGAGAAAAAATGAACGATAAGAATTGAAACAATATGGATGTTCTGATATATAATGTTGAATAAATAAAGCAAGATATAAAGTAGTACATGCTGTAAGATTCCATAAATGTAAATGCCAAAAGCAGGTAGAATTAATACATGGTGTTGGAAAGTCAGGTAATTGGTTACCCTTGTTTGGAATAGTGTCTAGAAAGAGGTATGAAGTGAGCCTGTTGTTGCTAATGTTTTGTTTCTTTTTTAAAAAGTTATCTTTATTGTTAAAAGTATTACAGGTATCCCCCTTTTCCCCCATTGACCCCTTCTAGCCCTCCCTCGTCTCCTCCCAGGCCTTCACCACACTATTGTCTGCGTCCTTGAGTTATGCATATCCTATCTAATAATAGACAAAGATGGTAATTAACCGTACCTTTGCTATGACTCCCATTAGCTAATCAGCACGATATGCAAATTTGCATACTGCAGGCAGGGTGGGACAGCACAAGCCGCCATCCGGGCCCTGTGTGCAGCCCCGCCCCCAGCTGGGACCCCCGAGTGCCACCTAAGCCCCGCCCCCAGCCGGGACCCCATGGCGATCCGAGAGCAGGAAAGTGCCGCCCCCGAGTTGCCGTGGCAATCCAGCGATCGGTGAGCAGGAAAGTGCGACCTGCAGGCAGCACCCAGGAGGGCCTGCCCCCGGGTCTCTGCAGCGATCTGGCGATCCGTGAGCAGGAAAGCGCAGCCTGCAGGCAGCACCCTGCCCTGGCCACAGCTCAAGGGAGAGTACAACACGCAGTGGAGGCCAGGAGCCTGAGAGATCAACACAGAGGGGCGCCTGCTCCAAGCCTTCCATGGTGTGGCTAGGGGCAGGTCCCCAGCAGACACACACACACGGGAGGCCTTGCTCTGAGCCTCCTATGCAGCTGGGGGCAGGCCCCCAAGCGGGTGACACACACACCCACACACACACACCCACACACACACACACACACAGTGCCTGCTCTGAAGCCTCCAATGGGGCTGGGGGCAGGCCCCCACTGGGGACACAGACACACACACACACACGCGCACACACACACACACACACACACGGGATGCCTGCTCCGAGCCTCTGCTGCCAGACTGTGGCCATCAGTAGGACATCCACTGAGGGC